TACACTGCTTTAATGATGCCGCACAAGTTTAATAAAGGTCAATAAGCCTGCATGAATCATCTGCTAAATGGATTAACAAGGCCCGATTCGGGCCAAGAATCGAGGCTTTTTATGATAAATAGGCCATTTATTTTGGTTGCAATTTGGGTATAGAAAAGTGCACAATTTAACTTAATAAAGTCAAATGCAAAATTTTGTGCAGAGGAATAAAGTAAAATACATAATGCAAGGTCATATGGAAATCTATTTTATATTCTAATCATTCACATAGCTTACCTTGGAGGTCAATAATATAGTTTGCGACTATCTAATTGGTAAAAATGTCATATCATTAGAAGCCTTCTTTGCCTAAGTGAAGCTCGATTAGTAAATATATAAAATTGGATTTACTTGTGCCTTTGTAGAAGACAAACAAGATATTGTACTAGATTTCAGATTTGATAACCAGATAAAAAAATCTTGTATTCCCAAAAAAGAATAAGAAATACAAATTAATGTGGCCAATATTTTAGACTAAACAAAGTCAGTGAGTTATTCACCTCTCCGACGGAAGACAAAAACAAATAAGTACACAAAGTGGAGCAAAAAGCAAAATACTTAGCTATTAAGAAAAAGAGTGATGGTAAAGTCATAATGGATTAAATGAGGAGTGGAGTTCGTGATAAGGTGACCATTTGCGAAATAGGGGGTACAATGAAATAATGGAGTATAAAGATATAAGTGAAGATGCCACCTACCTTGAGCTTAAACCCTTGAGCCGTCCGCTCTACAAGATAATGGCTAATTCCACTTATGGAAGAGGGTGTAGCCGGTAGGAAGTGATGTCCATCAAATTGACCAAAGCTAGTGCTGCTGTTATTACTTCCGCAGCCGACCCCACTACCGGAGCCAGAAATACCACCGGATGGCAGAAGCATGCCTGAAGAGAGGCATTTGACATTGCCTTCGCCGATACGGACAGATAAGGCAAAGCAGTTTGCATGGCTGCTGCTGTCACGGACGATAAAGCTTCCAGGCTGAATAAAAGGAGGAAATATGGTTGCAGTTAAAGGAAAGGATAAGGAGAGCTAAGAATGACAAAGAGAAAGATGTAAACGAAGTGTGGATAAGAAAAGTTTACGCGTCCACTAATTAAATAGCGACAAATAACAGTTTTCCAGAAAAAGTATCAAGCCACTCTTGAGGTATCAGAGTTGTATAGTAGGGATCCCGGTTAGTTTATAAAGCGTTAATAAAAATTCTAGCGTGCAAGGGTATCTTGAGCAGGTTACGCAGGTAAAGATACAAAAGGTTTGGTACGGTATGAATTTCAAACCAAAGATAAAATATTTACAAAAATTCGCTGAAATGAAAACAGGAAAATGAATATATGTTGATATGGTGGCCCCTATTTCCGTCGCTGTCTATTTTCGATGCATGGAAGTGGTCTGATCTAGCAATAAAATATTATTCATAAGACACGGATATTAAGACAAGTTAGGATGATTAAAACTGATGCCAGATATCAACAAATGGAAAGTATGAACCAAACTTTGATTTAACAAATATTCAGCTGGAAGATACTTGTTAGCACT